AAAAAAAAAAAAAAAAAAGAACATCACTCACTCACCTGTAACCTGTTTGCGAATAAGTAAAAAGGAAGACAAGAACAAGATCCCCAATTTTATTTGGGACAAAAGGATCCTCAATTTCAAAATTAGCAGTTTGAACACCACCCATTTAATTCATCCGCTTTTCATCCAAAAGAAAATCTTTTCTCAAGACTATTGACGGGAACGGCCGAACAGGAATACCGTATTTGGATTGTTGCTTGATTTGTTTGATCGAGATTTCTCCGCTAATGTAAGTGTTTTATATGTTCAATTATTCATATCAAATTATTAATTCTTTTTTTTTTTTTTAAAACTCAAATTTTTGTTTGCAATAATTGAATTGAATTGAATTGAAATTTTGTTTGTAAATGGGTTTGCTTTAGTTCTAATGTAAGTGTTTTATATGTTCAAATATTCATATCAAATTATCAATTTTTTTTTTAAGTCAGGTTTTTGTTTGCAATAATTGAATTGAATTGAAATTTTGTTTATGAATGAGTTTGTTGAATGTCGAGATTTGAATTTTGTCTCGGTCTTGAATTGATTTTTGTTTATAAATGAGTTTGTTAGGATGTTGAAGTTTGAATTGGTAATAATTGAAATCAATTGTTGATGACCATTATCGAGTGGATGTCTTTTACTTGGTGATTGATAGACAACTTTCAGATTTGAACGACCGCTTTAATGAGGAAAACACCGAGCTTCTCATTTGTGTTGCAAGCTTGACTCCGGATGATTCATTTTCCGCTTTTGACAAGCAAAAGTTAGCAAAAGTTAATTCGCCTTGTTAAATTCTATCTGAGAAATTTTTCTGAAAGAGATGTGTTAGCATTTGAAGACAAGCTTGATATCTAAATCAATGATATTCGGACGAATCTCAGTTTTTCTCAACTTAAAGGACTTCGTGGTCTTGCAAAGAAAATGGTGGAGACAAGAAAGCACATAACTTATGCATTGATCTACAAGCTTCTAACTTTGGCTTTAGTTCTTCTAGTTGCCACAGCTTCCGTGGAAATAGTATTTTCGGCTATGAATCTCGTTAATAATCCACTCAGTAATAGAATGAGAGATCAATGGATGAATGATAATTTGTTTGTTTATATTGAGAAAGATGTATTTAATAGCATTAGCAATGATGCTATAATGCATCGGTTTCAAAATATGAAATCGCACCATGGACAATTACCTTTCTGTTTGTTATCATCCGGATCGGTAAATCTGCATTACGAGATTCCAAACGACACATTAAAAGGAAGATGATCATTGAACCGACGTAATTTCAAACACCACCCCGGTTCAGGCGACAAACCGGACCGAACTACCGAAGACCGAAGTGGTCAAACATCTGCCGAGGTCAACATGAACCGAGGTCGTCACCTCCTTAAGCAGGTGACAAGGTGCCTACGAACGACCCTCCTGCTCCACAAGATCCGTCATCATTTATGTGGGACCCCCTGCCTCAAACCGCCCACAAAAAGTCGCTTTATTCGAAAAAGTAATGCACAGATCCCAATGTATCAACCCGAAAATACTATAAATAGCGGACCCATGACATTTGTACGGGACGGGGATCTCTCTCCGAACTAAAAAAAAACTTTACCAAGTAACACGTAAAAGCCCATCACGGCTCTTCACCTCGGACCGAGGCCATTGTTGATTTAATCTTACATGCTTTACGTCCAAACCACTCACAATTATCCACTTAATCAAAAGTTACATCGTTGTTAAAAATCATATAACAACAGTTTGGCGCTAGAGGAAGGGCCTCATAAGTGATTTGAGGTTAATCTCCGCTTTTTCACGTAACGGTGCATACCAGCCATATCCACCATGTCTCACTCAGATCATCGTGGTCACACGTCACGCGACGGCCCCAGTCGTAGCGCCGGGCAATCCGCTAGACGACAGGCCGTGGCTCCACCTGCGCCGGATTATGCTGTCCTGTTTCAAAATCCGGAATTTGCGCGTGGTTTTGCCGCTTTAATGGCCCAAACGATGCCGGGAACATCAACAACGGCTCCGGAACACTCCATCATTCCCACGACCCCCGCGAACCGACACAATCTACCGGCGCGACAAGACGGCGGAAGGACAACATCTCATGCTACATCTCAACCTCGTGATCAAATGTCACAACCTCCTCCGGAACAAAATACACGACGCACTGACGCCGGGCGTAATCCTCCCATGCTTCCCCAAGAGGAAACTGCCGAAAGCCAGTCGGGTCATTTACGACGGACACCGCCTCGTGAGCAGACCCAACATCCTTCCAATCCGGCGCAAACCGACCTCCGACAGCATATTGAACGGAATCGGGCTCGCCAAGAGTCGTCCGAACTCGAAACACTACGACGACGAATAGCCGAATTGGAAAGTCGGCAACGGGCACCTGAGGATCCACCTCGGCGGGCCTCTACCTCGGCTCAGGTGTATTTGGAAGCCGACTCTCCCCTCACTCCGGAACTTACTTCGGAACCAGTTCCTGGAAAAGTCAAGGTTCCCCAAATCGGGCTATATGATGGAACATCTGACCCGGACTCACATCTCGGTCATTATACCTCATGGATGGACCTGCATGGAGCTTCAGACGCACTTCGGTGTCGCATGTTTTCACTAACATTGGGGCCTCGGGCCCAAAAATGGTACCATTCGCTTCCCCCTCACTCGATTTGGAAATGGCAACAATTGAGGTCGGCTTTCCGATCTCATTTTATCGGGGCCCAAGTATGCCTTATCCCGAAAGAGTCTCTTGCCAATATCACTCAAAAAGATGATGAAAGCGTTAAAGATTATATCGCCCGTTTCAATGACCGAGTTCAGAATATGGAACCCTGTCATCCCGAAACTTTGCTTGTTATGGCTATTGCTGGGTTGAAGCCAAATTCGATTTTCCGCTGGACGTTATGCCAAAATAAACCGAATACTTTTCAAGAATTTCTCGCTCGAGCCCAACAGCATATCATCGCGGAAGAAGCCATGTCGGTTCCCGATTTCAATTTTAACCAGAAGTCCTCTAAGGCGGGAACCGACGAAAAAAGGAAGAATAAATTTTTCGACAAGCAAAATAAGACTCAATTCAGGGGGCCTCCTCGAGGAGACCCCAACGATCCCGAAGTCCGAGCGGCCCGAAAACAGTACGCAACCGACGTGAAGTCCGGTTATCAAACTGTATACTCGGCGGGAGCAGCTATTATTTATGAAGAAATCAAAGGGAAGGGCATTTTTCCAGATCCCAAGCCACTTCGGATGCCTGAAGAAAAATTGGACAAGTCCCGATATTGCGATTATCACAAGTTGCCCGGGCACAACACGGACGAATGTTTGAGTCTGTTGGCCGCATTGTTGCGTTTAATCGGCCATCCGCAGCTTAGAAAGTTTTACCGTAATACCGATCCCCAGAGGCGAGGACCTGGACGTCAGATCGAATCCTTCGATGATGAAGACGACGAGGAAGACCGAGGTGCAATGACAAAACGCATCCGACAGGGGGATAAAGAAGTATTCATGTTTACCTCGGAGACCTCCAGTTCTGACCCTGCGGAAATTTCCCGAGGACGTAAGCGAGATAGATCTCCTGAACCAATGCAAATTACTGTCCATCGGGTCAATACCAACAACTCCCGGAGTACGTTGTCCCGCCGACAGGTTAAGGCGTATACCCGACAGGCTCACAACGCCGGTAAACAGGTTTACACTACCGATTTGAGAGATGTTCTCAACAATCGGAATTGCCCAATAACCTTCAATATGGAGGACGCGAATCATTTCGCTCATCCTCATTCTGACGCCTTGGTCATTACCGTTCCAATATGTGGCATCCCGGTTCATCGTGTCATGGTGGACACTGGGGCCTATTCAAGTATTTTGATGCTGAAAGCTTTTGACAAGATGGGTCTTGACCCCGCCGAGATCAGACCTTGCAACGATCAAATCCAGGGGTTTAATGGCAGTATTTCAAAACCCATCGGAGAAATCACTTTGCCTGTCCGATTTGGTACCTCGAAGAATGTCACCAAACTCGTCATGGAGACTTTTAAAGTTATGGATATTAATAACGAGTACAATGCCATCATCGGCAGGACGGCGTTGTACAAACTTCGGGCCGCAGTCTCTATCTTCCACTACGCGTTAAAGTTCCCGACAACCCGAGGAGAAGGAACCCACTTCGGAGATCAAAGAGAAGCTCGACAACTTGTAACGTTCATCCCATCTCATGGAGTTCACTCGGCTTCAACGAGTAACAATGAAATCTCCCCACAACATCACTATCCGAACGATGCGATGACCGAAGAACCGAGAATCCACGTCGGTGAACCTTCCACCTCGGATCCGTTAACCGAAGACCGAGGACGCCGACCTGGAAAAGAGCCCCTCCTTGAAGAAGACGAGCTGGATCCCAGAGCATTGTTTAAAGAAAAAAGTCGACCTGATCGAGCCGAACCTGGAGAAGACGTGGAGTTAGTCTATATTGACGAACCAGTCTTCCACAAGTCATTACGTATCGGAAGTCATCTTCAGGAACCACTTCGGTCAGAACTTATTGCGTTTCTCAAGCAGAATTCTGATGTCTTTGCCTGGAAGCACGAGGACATGAAGGGCATCGACCCCGGTGTCGCTAGCCACAAACTAAACCTCGATCAGACAGTCCGGCCTGTTGTACAAAAGAGAAGGAAACTGGGGCCGGATCGTCAGAAGGCATTGGAAGAAGAAGTCAAAAAACTTGTTGACAATAAATTCATCAAGGAAGCCAAATACCCGACGTGGGTCTCAAATCCAGTGCTCGTTAAAAAGAGTAACGGGTTGTGGAGATTGTGTATTGATTTTTCCGACCTCAACAAGGCGTGCCCAAAAGACAGTTATCCACTTCCTCATATAGATTATATGGTCGACGCCACGTCGGGACATGAGTTGATGAGTTTTATGGACGCTTACTCCGGTTACAACCAGATTCCTATGGATCCCGAAGACTCTGAACATACTTCATTCTATTCGGCCAGAGGTTTGTATTGTTACACTATGATGCCATTCGGATTAAAGAACGCCGGAGCAACATATCAACGTCTTGTCAACAAAATGTTCGCAACATTGATCGGACACACTATGGAAGTTTATGTTGATGACATGCTCGTCAAGTCGGTGCACGCCTTTGATCATATAACGCATCTTCGAGACATGTTCGCCATCCTCCGATCTTATTCCATGGTGCTGAATCCGAAGAAATGCACTTTTGGAGTTGAATCCGGAAAATTTCTAGGCTATATGGTTAGCCAGCACGGGATTGAAGCCAATCCGGCCAAAATAAAGGCCGTTCAGGAGCTAACTCCCCCAACCTCGATCAAGGGTGTCCAGGCCCTAACTGGCCGACTCGCTGCACTCAACCGGTTCATCTCCAAGTCTACAGATCGTTGTAAGCCGTTTTTTGAAGCAATCAAGAAAGGGAAACGTTTTGAATGGACTGAGGAATGCCAAAAAGCTCTTGACAATATCAAGGAGACGCTGATCTCTCCCCCGACTTTGCAAAAGCCGAAACCCGAGGAAATGTTGTTCTTATACCTCGGAGTCAGTGAATCTGCCATTAGCGCTGTTTTGATACGCGAAGAAGGGTTGCTGCAATCACCAATCTACTACGTCAGTAAAGCCTTGCACGATGCCGAAATACGTTATCCTCCGATGGAGAAGTTGGCATTTGCCCTTGTGATTGCAGCCCGGAAATTACGACCATACTTCCAAGAGCATTCTATAACTGTTCGCACTTCGTACCCACTTCGGCAGATCTTGCACCGACCTGACACCTCGGGACGCATGGTTAAATGGGCCATCGAGCTCGGACAATTCGATATCCACTATCAACTGAGGACCGCAATCAAGGCCCAAGCCTTATCCGACTTTATCGCTGAGTTCACCCCGGCCATTGCGATTCACTATAATAATCAACCATGGGTCCTCTATATTGATGGCTCTTCAACAGCCAACCGAGCAGGTGCAGGGATAGTCTTAGCTGATCCAGAGAATTGGTTATTCTGTCATTCGGTAAAATTCCTCTTTCCAGCAACAAACAATGAAGCCGAATACGAAGCGCTGCTATCCGGATTGAATTTGGCAGAGTCCATGAACGTGACCCACCTCAAAGTCTTCTCAGACTCACAGCTCCTTGTTAATCAAGTCAATGGTTCCTATGAAGTCAAGGAACCTCGGTTGACACCTTATCTCTCTTTGGCCAAACGAAAATTATAAAAATTCTCCGCCGACCTCGAGCATATCCCCCGAACTCTCAATGTTCAAGCAGATGCCTTATCTCGACTTGCGTCCAGCACCGGGATGGAGAGCGCGGAGTACATCCAAATCGGCCAACAAGAACAACCATCAACTGCCCTTTCCGAGGTCACGGCCATCAACCCAGTAGCATCACAAAAATCACCAACTTGGATGGATCCTATCATCCACTACCTAGAAACTGGGGCCTTACCTCCGAACCCAAAAGAAGCTCGAGCACTTCGGATTCGAGCAGCTCGGTACACATTAGACAACGGAACTCTGTTCAAAAGAGGATACTCCGTTCCACTTTTGAAATGCGTAAGTGAAACTGATTCACGGTACATTCTTGAAGAAGTCCACGAAGGGATTTGCGGAAGTCACCACGGTGCACAAGCATTGTCTTATAAAATCCTGCGGCAAGGTTACTACTGGCCGACTTTGAAGACCGACGCCGCCATATGGGTGCGCAAATGCCCGAAATGCCAAATGTTTGCCCCGAACATCCATCAATCTCCCGAAGAACTAAAATCAATTTACAGTCCGTGGCCGTTTGCCAAATGGGGGATTGATCTTATTGGCCCTCTACCAACCGGAAAGGGAGGTGTCCGGTTTGCTATCGTGGCAGTTGACTATTTCACTAAATGGGCCGAGGCCGAACCGTTAGCCACGATAACCTAACAAAAGGTCGTAGATTTTGTGTGGAAGTCAATTATCTGTCGCTTCGGGGTGCCGAATTCCATCATAACCGACAACGGCAAACAATTTGAAGGCAAACGGCTTGAATCCCTGTGTGAAGAATACAACATCAAGCACTTCTTCTCGTCGCCTTACCACCCGCAATCCAACGGTCAGGTTGAAGCCGTAAACAAACTGATAAAGAACGGTCTCAAAGTCTGACTTGACGCCGCCAAAGGAGCTTGGCCTGACGAGTTGCCACATGTCCTGTGGGCTTATCGAACCACTACCCGGACGTCTACCGGCGAGACCCCATTTTCTCTAACTTACGGTTCTGAAGCCGTAGTTCCGGTGGAGCTCGGAGAACCGACTTACCGAGTTCAGCATTTCACCGAAGAAGCCAACTCGGAAAACATGAAAGCAAATCTGGACCTGCTTGAAGAACACTGTACTCGGTCCGAACTCAAGAATGCTGCATAAAAGCAAAGAAATGAAAGATACATCAATTCTAAACTCAAACCCCGTACGTTCCGAGTTGGAGATTTGGTCCTCAAGCGTATAATGGGGCCTGACCCCGGACCACTCAAACCGCGGTGGGAAGGACCCTTTCAAATCATCAAAATCCTACCTCATGGGGCCTACCGAATTGCTCATCCCGATGGAACACCACATCAATATCCTTGGAACGCAGTGTTCTTGAAAAAATTCTATCAGTGAAGGATCCGAGGTCGCATAGTCGACCCCTCTCTTGTACGGACCTTCTTTTTGTCTCGGTGAAATGCCTGAAATCACCTCTTTTGATGTACTGAATAGCCTATCAGTTTGTGTATTTTGAAAAGTCGAGCACCAAGCTCGATGCCGATGTAAACCTTTTGAAACCCAGTTAAATATATCATACCGATGTAAGCATTGCGACACTCGGTCTAGCTGATGCCCCATAATATGTCCGAGTACCACCTATTTTCGGATGGGGGTAACGCTCGTCAAACGTCATTTCAACATACGTGATTTGACGGGCCCCGAATATTACCGAATACACAACATATAAAGTCGGTTGGGGCCATTCCATAATCGGACTTTGACGAAGTCCGGTGACTTTCATTTTGTTTCCCGTACAGCCCTGAAAATGTGTTGAGTTCTGCGAAGTTATTTGAAAACTCGCATATCGACTCACACTTGTGGCTGAGATTCTTATAAACGATCAAAGTGGAATTCGGAAGTTATTTTGACAAAATCTTACGACTCGGATCATGGTTTAAATAATTCCGAGTTGAAACAGTTCATTTTCTAATGAAAACCGAATTCAGAACACTTGGTCAAAAAATTGTTGAAATTTGTACAGCAAACATACCATCAAAATCAAGTATATGCAAACACTTCATATATAAATATATTTTGA